AGTAACCGCGCGCTTGCGCACGCTAATTTAAATTTGTTTTATGTCGTTTATATCGGAAAATATGAAACAAGAAAAAATACCACGAACAAACATTTATCGGAAAAAGGTTTTTTTTATAAATGTCGAATCGATTTTTATTATAATTTTATAAGTAGATACTTTGAAGAACGATGAAAATATCCCATAAACGGAAATATCGGAACAGCAGAATATAAACACTGATATCAGAAACAAAATAGTATAATCTATAATATGATAAATTTTATGTAGAAAACTGATAAATTCTAAAGAAGATTTATTGTTAATTTATTAATTTGTTTAATTGATAAGATTATCAGGAAGTTTAAATATATAAGAAAATTTTATAGCAATGTTTCTAAATTGCATATATATAATTTACACTCGGACACCAACATTGATCTGGTAATAAGTACACAAAAAATAATTCTTGCCCTACAAACATAATTAACTAAGTAACAAATAACAGACGCAATTACCTTTTCAACAAACAATACGACCTCACCGACCATAAAAACGGTTTGGACCTCGAATCATATACTAGTATTATTTGTTTACCGTATGTAAAAGATTTGTATTTTTCGTGGAGAACAAGTTAAATCTAAGTTTAATTCTGACCGCCTCAGGAACTTAGTATATCAGATTAATTGCTCTAATTGCAAACTTTTTTATATCAGGAAAACTGAGTAAACATAAAAATAACAAAAAAATACCAAATAATTCAAGACTATGTTAACCGAGCATATAAATAATTTAAATCATAATATGATTTTTTTCAACCTAAAAATTCTGTATTTTGAAGAGAACGTAATTAAAAGAAGATTCGCTGAGAAATTGTTTTTGCAATTTATATATATATATATTATATATATATATATATATATAAAGTGTGTGTGTGTTCTTGCGTGTGTATGTACATGTATATGCTAATTCCCATAATTAAATAATGCAATTTTCCTGGAGTAACATGTTTTCACAAAGCACAGATAGATGATATTACGCTTTGGAACTTAATTGAATCTTAAAATTCGTCAATGTCGTTTATGTATTGATAAAATTAAAATATCGTCATCAGAAAAATACGAAAAATTGCAAATTGAAGTGTTTTATAGAAGTTAAAATGAATGGTTACTTTTATTATACTCCATACATGCATAATAATTCTAAACTTTTTTGTTGATTCGCGTAGATCTTTTGCCGAAAAATTATATGTAACAAAAATAGTATTTCAAAATAAAGATTGCAAATCAAAAAATAAGAATAATGATTTTGGAGGAGTTAAAATACAAAACAAAATGTATATTTTCCCGATTCTTAAAATCTCAAATTCATTTATGGGACAGCAATAATATACTTAAAATAGTTTGAACATTTGCGATCTGATTTTGCTTGGACAATTCAGTTATAAAAAAACTATTGGATTTCAAAGAGTTTATATAGTTTTCAGCCTATTATAAAAGTTCTAAATACAATAGATATATTCAATATAAGATTATACTTAAATATTTTTTAGATTGTATATTATAAGTAAATATTATATTAATTCTGCATAATATTTTTATATTATTTGTTTTTAATATTCATATGTACAACATTTAGAATAGAAATTTTAATATAGTGTTTAAAAACATTTCAATGTTTACATATAATGCAATTTATATATTTGATATATAACATTGTCAATAATGATCAACACAAAAAGTATTATCGATAAACTTATTTTTTATTATATTTATTTAATCTAAATAAACATATTAGTATTGATAAGTTTATCACAGCCCAAGGTCATCATTTTGAATAAACACTAATAAGTTATATGTAATTTATGATTGCTCAAATATTCAATAAATAAATATTTACCATAAATTTGCATTATGTGGTACTCACATCAACCTGCTCACAAAACTGAGTTATCGCTATGAAATCATCAATATCGTTGTCATTCAAATTCCTTTTTAATATTTCTAATATATTTTCTATTTCAGCTTCTTTAGTTAAATTTGCAATTTGTAAACTAATTTGTATTTCACCTATGTACGCTTCATAGTATGTCCAAGAATCATTTGCAAGTTCCAGTAATTCTGATAGTGAAGGTTGCAAAGAATTTCCATTTGTTAGGATGCTATTTTCGGGAAAATCATAATCTTTCACTGATTGCTCAAACTCATTGAATTTATTTCTAAGTTCCCCTGTTGATTTTTCTAATGTTGACCTAAAAATCATACAATAATACAATAATTATATGATATAAATAAATTAGAATATATAATATAATACATATATTTCAAAACAAATAGAAGTAAAGAAAGAAATAAAGCTTAAAGTTAATAAAACTGAAATTGAAGAGGTAGACAATATAAAATATCTAGGACTCAATCAAAAATTAACTCGGACAGACCATATAAACAGAGTGATAAAAAAGATAGTCGAACTAATAGGAACACTGAAGAGAATACACTACTATAGAACAAAACACAATATTTTCATACTGAAAGCGCACATAATGCCTATAATCATGTATAGAGTCAAACCACAAATAAAATATAGAAAGCATTCAGAAATTAACAAAAGAACAAGAATAATCTATAATCTCCTCTATTTCACACCTACTAAGCAAATTAAATATGTAACAGATAACCTACCATTAAATAAAATTATTAAAATAGAATAATGTAAATTAATACATAAGATTAAAAATAACAAAATTAAAACATGCTCATAGATATTTATAAATAAGAAAGTAAATGAGCACAATACAAGACAACAGGAACATTTTTATCTAAAACAAACAAGAACAAATAAAACCAGGTGGAACATTATATGGAGTGTTTCCAAAAATCATTCAAATGGGCTTTCGAAATAGATAAAGATGACCAGAGAAGAAATTAAGTTAAAAGAATATTATAAAGAAAACCTAGATAAATAAATTAGACCAATGTATGAATGTAAAAATGAAGAAATGTATGATTGAATTATAGAATAAATGATATAAATGTTGTAATGACCATATTATATATATAATAATGATATACATAAAATAAATATATACTATTAGATATTTTGTATGATCTCTCAAACCAGACATTTCCGTCTGTCTAAGATGTACAAAATTTATATTATAATTCAAATAAATTTAAAAAAATAATAATCTGAACTTTTATATGAGCAATCCCATGTTGGAATTATGTTGCAACTATTTGAAAGAAGGCAGCTAAATTAAGTTAAGTTAATTGAAGTTTGGAATTACGTTGAATATAATTTTAATACCTTTTAAGACAAAACCGAAACTTTCACATGAAACATGCTAAATCGAGTAAAGGACTTGTAAGTCCTCTGAGAAGTGCAAGCAGCCTTTACAATAAACTACCAGACGAACTAAAAACAATGACAGACCTAAACAGTTTCAAATAAATTGAAAAATTACATAAGAGACAAATGAACAAATGAGTTAAAATCCCTATTTTAAATACTATATTACTTCTGTTTTGTAAAATATTAATCACATTAAGTATAGTATTATGTATGTACGCAAGCGTTCTGTGTGGTTGTATAATAGTATAATAGTAATAAGTAAAAATATATGTCTAGGGTGCGTTCGACTTGGACGCTTACGCGCTGTGAGCGCTCACGCTTATAAGCACGATTTTTAGCGTTCGACTTGGCCGATAAGCGCTCAGAATCGATAACTAAATTCCGTTCGTTTTGGAAACTGTGAGCGTCAATAAGCATCAAAATGGCGGCAACTGGCATTAACGGTAATTGTGTGTAAATTTTATTACTTCTGATCATTCAGCGGGATTATAAACAATTTAACAATTAATAATAAATGAAATTTGGTTTGCTTATGCTTAATTCATATTAATATTAAAATTAAAATTTAAAATTATTTAAAATTAATTAAATTAAAATTAATTAATATTAATATTAATATTAAAATAAATGTGATATACAACTTGGCATTCTTGCGGGATTATAAAAAATTTAACAATTAATGAATAAATGAAATTTGGTTAGCTTATGCTTAAGTAATAGTAATATTAAAATTGAAATTTAAAATTATTTAAAATAATTAAATTTAAAATTAATTAATATCAATATTAATATTAAAAAATAATTGTGATCTACAGCTTGCCATTTTTGCGGAATTATAAAGAATTTGACAATTAATAACAAATGAAATGACAGATAGTAAAAACAACTGACGCTCACGCTCACACGCTGCCCTACCTCTGTGGCGTGAGCGTATGTGAGCGCAAAATATGTGCTACGAGCATCCTACGATGGTGCTACGAGCGTGCTTATGTGACACTCACAGCGCCAAGTCGAACGATGAAAGCGCGCTCACGGCGCGCTCACAGCGCGTAAGCGTCCAAGTCGAATGCACCCTTAATGTTTAAGTCTGTTACATAAAATTTAGATTTTATTTTTGTTATAATTGCTGTGATCTCTCATACCAGAACAATTGTTTGACTGAGATACAGTATGTATGAATTATATCAAATAAATAAATAATAAAAAAAGCGAATATCAAGACCTTTTTCAAAAACAAACTTCAGTATAAAATATAACATGTATACATTACATAATCCTACAAATAATACAGACTAATTGAATGAAATCTCTGAGCAAAATAATACAGTATTCAAAATGCAATAAATCAATGATGGCAATTAAAACTTCTTACAATCAAAAGCCGATATATCTACATATACATATAGCATTAATATTATATTTTAAGTGGAATTAATATAAGATTACACCTTTTACCTTTATACTAGTAAGATGACAAAAAACTTACGTTAACTTCATAACAGAACACACTAAATCATTTATTTCCAATAACAGAGAGTATATCAATCGCTTTCTTAAATGATTTTCATCTTCATTTACACTCTGTACAGCCCTAAAAATTGAATCAAATTTACACACTATATTTGTAATTTATATTCACAAAATATTATTACTTTTCATTAAAGCTAAATGACGACATTTTGCAAGTGTACGATTTAGAGTTGAAGTGCAACTTTCATTAACACTTTTGCTAAGTTGGTTATGCTTAGCTAAATACTTAAAATAAGCAACCACACATTTTTGTATATTCTGCTCCATAATAATTTAAATATTTAGGAAACGTCTTAAATCATTTGCTTTAATAATTTTAGTAGATTGCTTCTTGTTTGCGCAAACTTAACCTCCAAATAACATTTTGACAACTGTTGCGTTTGAAACGTGTGAAGTCATATACAAATACTTGCGCACAGGTATGCAAACATAAAAGAAAAAACGGAAAATTTCAAATTGGGATAATTAAACCTTAGGAATCAAGTACAAGAATTTGTAGATAAATAAACATTTTTAACAAAAGTTATTTATTCATTGTAAGTTTCTATCCGCAAAAATAACATTTTTCTTGTTTTCCATGTTATAAAATATGTTTTTTGACGAGATTGATTATTTCATTGAGGAACCATATAACCAGAGAAAAACCAGATTCTGGACCATATAAACCTATATTTAATTCGGCTGAATGTTACACCTTTTTAACTTCAAATGAAGTAATTTATTGTAATCGTCCAAAAATCCAAATTAAAAATGTTTTGAATATCAAAAATAATTCGGATTTTAATATTAATTCTAGCTAAAATACTTGAAATAATTATAACTTTGGAATTCAATTTAGACTTAGAAATATTAGAAATTTGAGATAAGATTCTTCACCAGCTGTGAAGTGTATCCTCAGCTGACAGTACTCACTTAGGATACAGTCGACAGTACTCACTTAAAATAAATGTGTTGATGTAGTATTAATATAAAATACAGTTTATTATTATAATTTATTCAACATTTTTGTACATAAAGTCTGTCCTTTATTTACAAATCATAATCTTTATTAAATATATATAAATATTCATTTTGTATATTTTATTTCAATAACTCACAAAATAAACATTTGTTGATGCCCAGGCTAAGTTCTAACAATATTTTATCACAATGTGGTTTGATTGCACAACTTTTTACAGAACTAAGAAGACATTTCAAATTTTGTCTTTTGGTTTTAGTAAACGGTATGACTTTGATATGACTATGTCAAGAATAGAGAAGACCAGTTTGTCTTCTCAAATTTCTGCAGAACAATAGTATATGCAATCATACAATAATAATTAAACATTATAATCTAAATAATAGTAATTAAATTTAGAAAATTTAAAGTTGAGCAGAAACGTTTTGATTATATATTAGAAATTAAAAAATAAACAGCAAATGAAAAATAAAAATCTTACAATTATAATACATTGATCACTTAACAATTAATGGAAATAAAATTAACTATGCTACCGTTTTGAATTCTTTGAAACATTTGCCACACATGTGACTTACATATAAGCAATGCCATATACTCCAAATATTTCTTCAACATGGTAATACACAATATAATTTCAACTCAACATATCTTAAAACTCTATAATTTATATTAATGGATTCTTAGCATCATTGCTAAAAATATTTATTAATTTTTGGCATAAAGACATGAATTCACACATTTTATAGTTAATTACATATATGCTATTTAAAAATAGCAACCATAAAAAATTGGAAAACCTTTCCAGGAAGGTTTTATTGCCAATTTATATAAAGGTATAAGTAAATAAATCACATTATTGTTAATCTAAGTATTTATAAAAAAGCCAGTGGAATGTGAAGCGACTTTTTATGACTACAAAAATATATCTTTATTTTGTTTTTTTTCTTTTATTTTTCTCTAATTCTCTTAACTTTTAAGACATATATTGATCTTCACATCTGCATATATATAAATTTAGAAAATAACTTCAATAACATCGAATAACTGAGCACAAGATGCAATAGACAAACACAAATAAAAAAATAAATCCACAATTTATAACAAAAAATTATTTCATAAATTTTTATAAATAATAATTATAAATCTAAATTGGCTTAATAGCTCTTTCATTATGTGCAAGCAGGAGACCTCCAACCAAGCTTATCACTGCTCTATCTATCCAGGTAACGGGATTGGGGTATATGAGACCCCCTTCAAAGAATCCTAGATGACCTCCATGAGAAAGTTCTACGTAGATCATTCTTCTAGAAGAACCTAAATAAAAAAAATGAAATATAAAATATGAATTACAATTAGGTACATCTTGTAGTCGCAATTGATAAATTTTATAAAGCAAAATTAATAACTCACCAGCAATTTTTCTTATAGGATCTAGAAGAGTGTCATGGAGTAAAGGATCGTCTTTAGCATTTATAAATACCATTGGAGTTTCAATGTCCTGGATGTAGTTTATGCAGGAACTCCATTTGTATAAAGCGTTTACAGATGGAAACTTGTGAACTTTTCTATAAATAAAATACTAACATGGGTATTGCATTTATTAAACAAAATTAATTAAAACTAGATGTAAGAGGCATTTTGCAAGTTGCATACATTCCCTGGTATATGTAAAATTTACACATAGCATGGAGTTTATGCATTTTTATTTAAACTGTAAAGAATATTTTATATGAATGTGCCCCCCCCCCCTCTTATATAATTTATATAGATACAAATATGAATTTAAATAAATATAGTTCACATATAGTGATTCAGCTGCACAAACACAGACTTGAGAACATAGATGGTGTATATCTTAACTCAATGGCTTTAATGAATTTTAAAAATGAAACCACTTATTGTAGAATAATAATATTTTAGGATGTTCATTTGGACCAAAAATTGTATAACTATTCAAAGTTTTAGTGCAATAGTCAAAGTCACTTCACTTTGCTGAACATTACTAAAAATTAATCAGCTCAATTCTTAACTAATATCTTTCGAAGAGATTTTGGATTTTCAAAATTGTTTGAGAAAACTGTAGACAAAAAACTTTGCACTTAACTAAATGTTTTTACAAGTTTGGCCTTTTAAATGTTTGTAGTGTGGAACAAAAATTGTAAAAAAAATATGTGACTAGTTATCATATGTTATAAATCTATTGTCATGATTCACTATTATTATTACCGCATTGTGCTGAAACTTAATACATGTTTCTATCAGTTATGCTGAATATATAGTACCAATAGAGAAATTCATAGAGATGATTTGTTTAATATTCCAGTAGCTACATTCAAATATCATTTGCAATTAATTTATATTCATACCTCGTATAGGCGTCATCCAATTCCGGCAAAGTAGCTGCCGATGCTATATCTCTCTCATTCAATTGGCATTTTAATTTCATTTCATCGGACAGGAGAATATGTCTGTGTTTCAAAATTATTGTCTTCACACTTTCTGTTAAAACATACAAGTAGAAACGACGAAAATTTTGCCAATTCAGTAGCCATTTCGTACCCCTGCAAAATAAAAAAGAATTATAAAAATTGACTTGTTATGCATAATGCATATTAACAAGTTATATAATGCAAATTTACATAATACATAATGCAATTTGCGATAGTGCATGTATGTAATATATTAAATGTTTATTCAAAATTTATATATTAACAAAAACTATAGTTTTGCTTATTTTACAATATAATTAACATATTACAAAATGCAAATTAACAAAAATATACTTAATGCTACTTGCGATATGCAAGTATGTAATATGTAAAATGTTTTTTACAAATACATATAATAAAAAAAAAAATAGATTTGCTTATTTAAATTGTATATTGTATTTAAATAGTATATATAATTTTGTAATATATTGCAAATTATATATACTAGTGATTATTTAATATTTTTGTGTTAAGGCAAATTGCTGGAGCTTCCCGGTTTTTAAACAAATAGTATACCAAAATAGGCGACAAATAAAAATGTTAAGCAAATTCTCAATTATCAATTCAAATTTTAAACATTTTAAAATAGATATAAAATTAAAATATTGTATTCTATTTGAAAGTTTTAGAAATCGTTAGTGGTCTATATTGAAATCCAATGTCGCGAATATCTGTTATCGTTGAAAACCGATTAATCAATCAAAGTTTATATATAAATTTAAAACTAGTGGGGTGCATGGCATCGTGCCTTAAGGCAAATTGCTGGAACTTCCCGTACCGTAATTAAAAATCTTAGTACGGAACCCAAAAAAATTTACACAAAATGTGTACACATTATTAAAATCTCTATAAAATATCTGATAATTTGATGTACATATGTCCAATTACCATTTTTGACCGCCAAATGACATTTTGTTTAACTTATTTCTATTGAGCGTCCATAACCTCTGGACCTGTCTTCCGAAATATTTAATCAGTTCTTTATATTGTCAATACAAGTAAAATGTTTTTTGAATTATTAAAATCGGACGCTCCGTTCTCCTAAAAACTGAGTTACCGTTACACACACACGTACATCAAATTTTTCTAAAGTATGCTTAAATGTTCAGAAACCTCTAAAACGTAAAGATATATAAAAATTTCCATTTTCGATTTTTTTACGATTACTATAACTTGCCATACGGGAAGTTAATAAAAACTGTACTTGTTTATATTCATTGCTTAAAATAATATAGAAAGATTCTATAAAAATTAAATACCACGTTTGTTTTTGCAAACAGAAAATCATTAGAAAAGTTCACTAGAAAAGTCTCAATAGTATAATAAGTAATAAATAGTATAATAAGTAATAATAAGTATTTCATATAATATTTTATGATTAATATCAAAATCAGAATAATAAAATAAATTATTTTGCTAGAAAAGTTCACTAGAGGTAATTCACATAATGTGTTATGATTTTATTTACTTTTAATCAATAAAATAAACCAATATCAAATAATAATAATAAATCAAAAAATTAATATCAAAATCAAAATAATAAAATATTTTGCAAACAAGGAGAAAGGAATTTAAAATAATGCTATATTAGAATCTACAAATGATAATTTGAATCTTCACTAATCTTTATTGTGCATTTAATTAAATTTATATCTAAAATAAGTTCTATTAATATACTAATTTATTGAAATTCATTATTTAATGCGGTTATTAATATTATATTTAAAAACCAAGTGAATTTCAAAATAATTGACTTACTTAACTAGCTGTAAGTGGAAACTTAGATGAACTTCACGAAAAGCGTAAGACTTAATAAAGAAATAAGATTTATAAATTAAGATAAAATTTTAACTGTTTTCACTTTCACTAAAAGCTAATCATTGCAATTTCCAATTAATATCTTTCAAGAAACACTTTTATAATATCTTTAATGCTTGAAGCTCTAAAGCGTGGGTTGTATGTTCTAAATTAATTACTTAATTAATTAGTTTATCATTGAAACTTACTCAATGGCGTTGTATCCTTGGCATATTGAAATTCCTCCAATTATATTACCATTTTTAATTTTTGTCTTTTCACCAAGATATTTGGTGATGATATTGCCTCCTAAACTGTAGCCCACACAAACTATCTTAGAACGAGGAAACTGTGATTGCAGATGTCGAATCATTTCATTATAATCATCGGTATGACCTGAAAAATTAATATAAATGCAATATAATATAAACAATTTTAATTCAAGTTTTTATAAATGGTTGAAGCAAATTTCAATAATAAATATTTTTATATTTCGAAAGCCAAAGTACTCCATGAGAACAAAGTGAATGTTCGACATAGCGTGAATAATTCGCATTAATTCCAGTGTTCCATGTCGTTGATTTTCAACAATGATCATCAACAGTTATATTAGGTAATTAATTAATGGCATCAAATTTAAATTGGCAGAACCTCGTACAAAATAATAATAAAAATGTGCTAAAATTCGACAATTTTAATATTAAACTCTATATACTATTAATTAAAGTAAAGAAAATAAATGGAATCAACACTGTAAGTTCTTCTAATCTATTCTTAAGTATACATACTGTAATTTCTTTAAATCTTTTATTTCAAATCTTCTCTCGATTTGCTTTATAAAATTGATTCAATTCAAATATTCTTTATATTATATTACATATACGTTTAAATTAATTATTAAACTAGTTGAAAATGGCATTTAGCCTTAAGGCAAGTTCCATAAACCTCCCGAAATGTGTAGTAATTGACTTAATCAAATTTGAGATTTAGATATTTAGATAAAATTTTCAACTATTTATATGGAAAATAAAGCTATCGCTATCAATTAAATCTAAACATTGCAATTTCGAATAGAATTTTCTTAAACACAATTAAATTAACTGTAATTATATTAATTATATTGCAGAGACACTATAGTGCTTGTATGCCCTAAAATTGTAGCTTATCATTTTAAATTTTTATGAATTAATAAATGTTTAACTCATCTCATCACAAAAGCAACTTTTGACACCAATTTTGACTACAATATTTACTCAGACTTTGATGAACTTTTAACATTAAACTATTTGTCGTAAAGCCGTAACATTTTAGTATGTTTTATAAGACTATGATATCTATTGCCAAAAAAGGTTCATAAAAATCGCCAAAAAAATTGGTTCAACGGTTAATTTCAAGAAAACGGCTCGGTAGATTTTTACCAAAAGCTTATCAGTATCATTCCCAACCAATATCTTTCGAACAGTTTTTGATTTTTTTAAAATCGATTCAGAATTGAGAGCTAACACGTGGACGAAAATTTTTTTCACTTTTCTGCTTCGTGGCACAAAACCGAGAAAAGATAATCCACATAGAAATACATTGAGGGCTTTTAAAATTTTGAAATCGGTTCAGAGGTTTCTAAGCAAACGTCGATGAAATTTCTAATTTTGACAAACGCATAAAAAACGATACTTATTTTTGCAAACTTTGACGAATTTTCAAAATTGAACGACTTGTCGTAGGGCCGTAATATTTTAGTACGATCTATAAGACTATGGTCTCTACCGTCAAATAAAAATTCATAAAAATCGTCGAAACATTTTTTACTATTCTATTCTTTCTTATAAAGCTATTTCTTAATATAGTGTAATTATTCTAATTCTTTTAAAATTGATTTAATTCATTTTCAAGTAGCCTATAAGCCATTGGAATACAATTTGTTAAGATATTAATCTGTAACAGTTGTTTTTCCAAAGACAGACAGATTATATTATGAAATAAAGTCCTTAGACGTTTTTTGTTATAAATATTATTTTTTATAATTTAGCTTTATTTACATACCATAACTGAAAATTCTAGAGCTAGTGACAGGCACTCCAGATAAGGCACCAATATGATTAAGTACGGCACATCTGTATCCGTAATATTGTGCGTAATGGACAAATGTGCGAATGTAGACCGACTCCGAAGAGTTACCTATGCCAGGGCACACTGCCAGAGTTACCTCATCTGAAAAAAAATAAGATAACAAATTAAACTAAGCGTAAGTGGCATTTTGCATTTAAGAAGGTTGCCTGAACTTCCCGATACGAGTAAACAATCGACTTAGTTAATAAGAACTGTGATTTAGCAACCCCTAGGGTCCATTAATCACGTGAGCGATTTTTATGGATTTTTGGACCCCCTCCAAAATTAGCAATCCACCCCGACACAACATCACGTGTATTTTTAGTACCTAGAAAAATCGTAAAAATTTTGATTTTTTTTGAAACTTTTTTTTAAATAGTTTTTTTAATTTCATTTTGAAATGACATATTTTTTAATAATTATTCTATAATTCATTTGCTAACATAAGTCTGTAACTTAAAATCAATTACATTCGCGTTGAATGCCGCATTACTTGTAATGGAAAAATTTAACTTGAGAGAAAGGAAATAATTATTTTCTATTTAAAATGTTGTTGAACTCGACAATAACAAAAAAATAGTTTTAAAAAAAATCATGCAATGGAATATGTAATTAAACTATAAAACATCAGGGCAAGAGAAATGATGTAAATGCAAAATAATTGCGAGTAATTGCTTTGAATAGAAATTCTTGCTACACCCAAAACGTTCATCAAATGAGTTTTTAGTTCGGTGAACAAACAAAACTATAAGGATGGAAAATTATTAGGTAACTGTAGCAGAGACGGATTAGAATCTAATCAGGAAATGTGTGCAATCGATTTATAAAATTGGCGACAAGGTGTAATAATGATATAGCTAACATTTGTACTGATGCACATGAATCGTTGAGAATAATATTAAGGATCTGTGAACAATTTAAAATAAAGCAGTAACGATCCAACAAAATTATATCCTGAATCTGGATTTGCCTACAATCTGCTCCAGATAAATTTAACAAATAATCATAATAAAACAACAATGCCATAGATTATTCTCAGATTCTTAACCAGCTATCCTTTAACGTTCTTAGATTCTCTTATCTTTCGATGTAATAGAATGTCCAACAAATAGTAAAAAGATTTTTGTTGCAGAGAAAAAAGTTGCATCATAGACCGCTGACAACTAATTACTATCTGTACAGGTTAATTTTTATTATTCTTTATTTATGAATCCTTTGTATTATATTTTAGTGCCAGTAATTACATACTATTTCATATTGAACAAATATTTTGGGAAATATATAATAGAAATTTAGCTATTTTTTTAGGCATAAACGGCAAACAGAATTTAATGAGTGCTATGAGTTGTTGTGCTGAATAAACGATTATGAAATTTGAATTATAAATTCCATAAGCTTTTCGGACCGCTTGATGTCAAGCAGTAGTGACATCGTTTCATAAAAATAACTATAATCGGTATTGCTGCAATAATCAATAGCAAATTCATCAGTATCAGAATATTGAATTAATATTTGTTTTTTAATTTATTCAATTAAGAGAAAAAATTATAATACATGAGCATTTTTGATTTCAATAAAATTGCATTTGCAATTCTGATATTCCAGTAATAAAATCAGAATATTTTTATATTCTATTAATGAAAATTCTTTACAACATACCGTTAAAAATTCTAAATGATTTTTTAATAGCTATGATCATTCCACATAGGTTATTATATCGCCATAGTATTACACAACTTAACTCACTTAATAAAATTTTAATTATGTCAATTACATTTTTTCATTATCAGTTTTTTAAATTCAAGTACTAGTGACAACGGTTCTTCCAAATAACTAATCGGTATTACTGCATCAGATAACAAATTCATCAGTATCAACGATACTGATGAATGTATTATTGATTGATGCAGCAATATCGTCAAAAGCTATTTAGATGAACCGATGTCACCACTGATTGACATCAAGCTGTCCGAAGAAGTTATGGAACTACTGATGCAAATACCACAGCTCCAACCAATAATACAAGAAAAAAATCAGTTTTACAAGAAACATCACCTAGCCTTTTGGTACCACTATTACTACGGCTCTGTTTTAGAATACACTTTCCAATTATATTTGATAGATTTAATCGGTATAATTGTTATACACTTTTGTTTTGTTGATTCAATTACTGATGAATAGCTATTTGAATGAACCGATCTAACCACTGCTTGACAACAAGCTGTCCGACGGGGTTATCGAACTTCTAATTCAAATCCCATAGCTCCATCCATTAATCCAAGCAAAATCCCATTTTTACAAGAAACATCACCTAGTCTTCTTGTGAGCTATTACTACGGCTCTGTTTCTGAATACACTTTCCAATTATATCTGATAGATTTGCATCGGTATAATTGTTATACACTTTTTCATCAATAAAACAAAAACTACAGTCGCAATACAATCGTTTGCAATATCACTTTTTAAATACAACTTCTTGACAAATCCCGGCGTTAATTTGTCGCGCGAGGTGCAATACTCGGCCGCAAAAAATCAATCAATAATCGTTCGACGTTGAATTTTCAACCTCAGAGATTTGGCAATTTGACCAGGTTCGATTGGTTTTCGACCGGGGACGTGAAAGTAAAATACAAAACGATATCAATTTTCTTGTACATTCCGTCATGTTTTGCACATTTATATATGTAGCGTTAGTTCGACATGTTTCGGTTAAAAGTCGGTCTGGTCTGACATAACTTTTTTGGTTTCGATACATATAAAAGTGACAATTTATCACAGCCGACGGTATATAAGCAACTCCTCTCGAAAAATCATTATTACTTGCGACTTGCAAACGTTTTTATGCAAATCTAATAAGGAACTCGATATAGAGTTATATAAAATAGTGAAAAATTCATTAGTTTTATAAGTGATTAGTAAGTTTACTATTAAAATATTTTTTTATTTTTTTAATACTGCTGAATATTAAATGTGATGTCAGAAATATTTATTTTTCCGCTTTGCTTTCAAGCAAAATCACTTCAATTAAACGAAAATTAAATTATCAAATAAATTCTTTTAATTTCAATAAAATTGCATTTTGCTGTTCTGAGTAATAAAATGCAGATACTTTGATATTCCAATCATACCAATAAAAATCATAATTTTTGTTTCGTTTTTAAATAGCTAAATTCCACTTAGGTTAATTATATTACAACTCAATGAAGTTTTAATGGCGCAAATAAAATATTTTTTTTAAATAATATTCTCTCAAATTTTAGATGATAATAACAAATTTACTTCAAAATAATTTGCAAATTAATTACAAAAAATAAACATTATTTATAATTGATTCAAGTTTTTAAATTAACTTGTTGCTGAAATTTCATAGTACAATTTATTGTGTTTTGATTTAATTATAGATCGTTGTGTTACATGTGTTACCATTTTTGTGATAAATGAAAAAAATAAAAATAAGTAATATATTTTATTATAAAAAACCTCCAAATGATCATGTTTTCCGCTTGGAGTTTGTGTAACAACCATTTTTGTGATAAGTGATCTACAAAATTATTGTAATTTTTTTATTTTATCGGTGATTGAAAAGTGCATATTCCCTTTATAGTTCATTATTAAGTTAATTTAAAAAAAAAAACTAAATATATTATTAAGAAAGATGAATGAGAATAACTTAAGTTTATTACAAAATAATTTGCAAATTAAGTACAAAAATAAACATTACTTATAACTGATTCCAGTTATTAAATTAATTTGCTGTTGCTGAAATTTCATAGTAATATTAATTGTGTTTTAATTTAATTATAGATAGTTTTAATTAAAATTCTGTCGGATTCTATATAAATAAATAAAAGTTAATATTTTAGTGATAAGTGATTAGGGTGTACAAAGTGATTTTTTTTTTTTTATTTTATTAATTATTGAAAAGTGAATATTCTCTTCATAGCTTATTATTATGATAATTTAAAAAAAACTAACTCTGTCATAAAAAATGAGACAAATAAAAATAACTAAAGTTTATAACAAAATAATTTGCAAATTAACTACAAAAAAATATTATTTCTAATTGACTCCAGTTTTTAATTAAATTTTTCTTACTAATTTAGTAGTGAAATTAATTGTGTTTTTATTTTATAGATTGTGTTGTTCAATAATCATGTTATTGACAACGGTAAAAACAATTTTTGTATGCACATTGATGTTGCAATGTTCCCTGACAAATGGAAGGCAAGTCAAGTTCAAAAAAGTTTCAAGGGATTCCAGAATAGACAATTCTGATCCGGATTGCCAGAAAGATGTAAGTTAGTTAATTAATCAAGATAAAAACATAAAATAATTTTCAAAATTTGTTATACTTTATAATACAAATTTGCAATTATGCAACACAATGCAGAATCTAAACGAGCTATTGTAATCTGCTTTTGCAATTATGTAACACACAATGGGTTATTAATTGATCAAATATTTGGATCAATAGTTTAAGTGAATAATAGTAATGCTAATCATAAAACCCATAACAGTATTTGCCGATCAATATGAAACAATAAAATATCAATTAAGTTAGAAGCTTGAAACTAAAATTTAATAGTTATTATCAATATTATTAAATATTTCTTCATAATTTAAATTATCATACTTCATAATTTTATTTATCAACAATCATATAAAATAATTATGTGCCATATTCCTTATTATTAAATTTGAGTTATTATTAAATCTCCAAATGAATCAAATCTTTAAGTATTGATTGCTCAATGAAAATTAATGGCTATAAGTGCATATAAAATTTATCTAGATTAGTTTTTAAATAATTAAAATACCTTCTTAATTTACTGTTTCGACCTTTAGAACATCTTCAAGACATATAATCTGATAAAATTTGATAAAATGTATTTATCAAAAAGGAACTCAGTTATAATTAAATTAAATGAAAATGTTTTGTCAAATTTCACATTTTCTGATTATATACAGTGGTACCCCAAAGTATGAGTTTAATTTATTTTGTGACCACGCTCGTATCTCGAGACATTTTTTTCCATATAAATACATTGAAAAGACATTAATTCGTTTCAGCACCGTGGTTTTTGTTGAGTTTTTCGAGTATT